AGGGATCGGCTTGGGGAGGACACTGGGGAGGTTGACGTGGATGAAGATGCAGATGAGGATGAGGATAAGAAGAAGGATGAGAAGGAGGTTCCCCATGATGCGAGCGGAGAAGATGAATGTGGGGAGGAAGGTGAGGAGGAGGAAGAGGAAGATGATCCATGCATCTCCGCAAAGCCGTCGTCAAGTATTCATATGCAGCAAAAGCGTGATGCTTTGAAACAAGTGCAAATGGAGATTGCGGCTTTGAGTGAGAAGCTTGGGATGTTACTCAGCTTAACACTATATAAGCTTCAATTGTGGTTCTCATGTGATCTATAGGATAGCGAGCTTTCTAGCTGAGGACCGAAATCCCCAGCAGCACGGGAGGCGTCAACATTCGTCGCTGCTACTCGCACCAAATCCTTTTATAGATGACAAACCCTAAACCCTAAACCCTAAACCCTAAATAAAATATCTCCAATTCAGGTGGACCGATTACTATCGACGAGAGCCCCGAACCAGAGCGCAAGGCAGCAAAGGCACCGTCGGCAACGCCAGCATCAATTCTTCGCCGAGCTCGAAGCAGTGTTAATCCTGACCAGCAGGCGATGCTCCCTTCTGAAAGGGTTCAATCAGGTATCTGTAGCACGCATGTCTTTATAGGAGTGCTGGGCAGCTTCCTTCTGCATGTATGTTTTCAGGAGACGCAAGTTATGAATCCATCGCCTCCCTCGACCAGAGCCTCGACTTCATCTCCTATGCCTCTTTTGGATCGTGTGCCTCCTGCTGTGACTTAGACGCACAACGTATATACTTGTGGTGCATGTGACATGCATGACATACTGGATTCGACGTCTATCTCAGGTTCCAACCGGGACCATGGTCACGGCTCAGGATCAGAACGCTTTAAAGGCGAAGAGACGCCCGGCCAAGAAAGGACCCCGAAGCGCTCGGCTGAGGGCGAAAGCGAAGGCGACACCTAAAGCCAAGATCCATGCGAAGGTCAAAGCATTTGCAAAGGCCAAAGCAAAGGCGAAAGCAAAGGCGAAGGCCCGGGCATCGCCAAAGGGCAAGGCCAAGGCAAAAGCCAGGGCTGCGGCAGTGGAAGCAGTGGAGCTTCCGTCTACAGGCCGTGGGCGTGGCGGTCGTGGTGCTGGGGATGCTCCAGCGGAGAATGCAGTCCCAAAGGGTCGTGGCCGAGGCCGAGGTGGGGGTGCTGCCGCTGAGGCTGCTGCTCCAGCGGAGAATGCAGTCCCGAAGGGTCGTGGGCGTGGTCGGGGCCGAGGTGCTGGGGCTGCTCCAGCGGAGAATGCAGTCCCTAAAAATCGAGGGGGTGCTGTGGCTGCTCCGGCGGAGAATGCAGTCCCCAAGGGTCGTGGTCGTGGCCGAGGCCGAGGACATGCTCTGCCAGCGGATGATGATCGACAGCTTGGGTGCCCGAAGTGCCGCCACTCCAAGATTGGATGCACAAGATGCCGAGATCCGAGTTATGTTGCTAGGTCCAGCCGTGCAAATGCCAATGAGCATGCGTGATTCCAGCCCTCATGTATTTTGTCTTAGACATATCTCTGGGAGGCTGTGTGACCAGTCTCTTTTACAGTAGTGGTCATCTGCAGGCAGGGCTATCCTTGTCTGCGCACGGGTGTCTGCACATGTGTCCATGGAAGCACAAATCTCATACATGAACTTCAACGTATGCAGCTTCTCGGGCCACGTGTGTGTGGGGACTTCAAATTTGCTGACCAAGCCGGGTGCGAAAAGTGTATTGGTACGTTGCATGCATGCACATGTTTCGGAGTCTGTGTGCGTACTCAAAGCCACAAAGCTTGCATACTCCTCTTAACCAGCCTCGGGCCAGGTACTTCCACGGTGGCGATGAGCTGGGCGTGGAGGAAGAGACAGAGGCCACAA